AAAAAAAAAAAAAATCAGATAAAAGTGTGTAGTGTCAAAGGAATAGAACCACTACCATTCAAAAGCAGTTTTGTCAACTAGGCAATACAACACTCTACACCATGTCTCTTTGTTGTCCATCACTGAACACACTGGTAGTAACTCTGAAATGAAAACAAAAAGGGAAAAAAGGAGCTGTAACCCGTTTTATTTTCTGTTTAAAATCAAACAAAACAAACATCAACTCTGCTAAACACTAACATCTTCAAACTACATCATTTGTACAAGAGGGCTAGGAACAAAAACGTGTTGACGGAGATCCGGGTGCGGGTGAGGGTGCCTCACACTGTGCTGCAGCCACATTCAGGAGGGGCCACTTCGTGATCACCAGCACCAAACAGAGCTGCCGAATTCGTCCCCGATACTTGAGGAAATCATAAGATCTTCTCATGCAGAGGTGTATGGCCAACATCGCTCCAGTCCATACAGATAGACTCAGTAGATGCCGGCTCTGTACCAGGGATGTGGCGCATCGGGGTGACCCCGGGGCCTCTCAGATCTCAGCCCCACGTGTAAGTATTCTTTCATCCATGCTACAGCCTCATGAACAGTGTACTCCTTACTACCCACGTTTCCTTGAGATTTGCTTATAACTTTCAGAGTCCTGTAGAACGGAATCCACATTCTTCTCGGCAGGAAGATAGAAGAACTGCTTCTGCCTGTTAATTAAGTCCCAGTCATCAACAAGCCACGGGGACAGGAAGGAGGGGACCAGAAGAGAAGTGAAAATAGAAGGAAAAAATGAAAACAAAGCTTTTGTACACAGGGAGGGGAGGGGGCTGGAGGGGGCAACGGGATAAAATAAATTAAAATTTATTTTAAAAAACAAGCCACGGTTTTAGCTCTTCAGGGATCGTTACTTTAACTTTGCCCTGGTTCACAAATGTTTCTTTATGTTCAACAGCAGGGCCTGCCGGGCCCTCTCCCCGCAGGAGGCTGAGGTGTCCCCAGCAACGCCACCATCTCTGTTCCCACGGCTTTCTGCGTCTTCTTTTTTGTTTACACTTCAACATTTTTCTGGAGAGGGCCAGGTGTCTTCTTTCCTGGCGCAGCCCCTCTCGTCATCCCCTCTGCGATTGCTCCTGATTGCCCTTGGGTTCTGCTTTTTCCCTGGGCTGCTGTCCACATGTTTGAGTTCTCTGCTTTCTGGGCCCCATTCGTCCCAATTTTTATTCCAACCACTGTAGAAAGCATTTTACTTGTTTGTCCTTCTGGCAACCTTTACACACTCTGCTTCACAAAGAGGCCCGTGAGGGCACCGCACCCTGCACCCTGCACCCTCTTGGAATGAGGGGGCCGAGGGCGCCGAGCGCGAGGGCTTCCCGCCTCCGTCCCCGCACCGCGACCACCCGCCGGACTCTCCGCCCCTTTCGCCCTCCCCGCCGCCCGCCGCGCACGCGCCTGTGGTGCCCTTGCCCAAGCCGGGAAATCTGCGCGCCGTTCGGGCTGAAGAGCAAGCGGGGGTCGAAGGTGAGCCCCTGGTGCTTCTCCCCGTCCAGAAGGGAGGACCTAGCGTCCACAGATGATGCGAGGCTGAGGCAAGAGGATCACAAGTTCCAGCCCAGCCTGGGCAACTTAGTGACTTAGCGAGCCCTAGACTCAAACATAGAGAAAGGGGTGGGGATGTAGCTCAGTGCAAAGGCCCTAGCTTCAATTCTCACTATAAAAAATTAAACATTAAAAAAGGGAGGTTTGGAGTAGTGGCAAAAAAATAAAAAATCAGTCAATCAAACAAAACAAACCAAAACAGGGTGAAAAGGGCTTTCCCTAAAGAGCGCGGACCCACGAGAGACCTCCGGACATCTCTAGGCGGACGGGATGGCAGGAGGGAGGCCGAGGCGGGAAAACGGATCACGGAGGAGACAGCACAGCAGCCTCGCCCGAGGCTTTCTGGGACAGCCGGGCTCAGAGGAAGCCGCCCGCTCCGCCTCCTGCAGCCGGTGTCTGCGGCTGCGCCGGCCACGGAGCGAACCCGGAGGAAGACTGCAGGCGCAGCTGGAGCAGCTCACAGGAGATCCCGCGGGCGGTACTCTCGGCGGCCGGTTAGCTCAGTTGGTTAGAGCGTGGTGCTAATAACGCCAAGGTCGCGGGTTCGATCCCCGTACGGGCCACGAATATTTCCCTTTTTTTCTCCCAAAAAATTCATTTTGTAACATTAAAAAAGAAAGTCTTTGGGGGGGGCACGAGCGGCGTACGGACAAGCCTCTCTGGACTCTCTCAGAAGTCGCTCCAGGCGCCCACAGGGAGGCGCTGTCCCCATGCCGTCCGTTTCAGGACATATGAGGGTCGTACAATAGGCTTGACGCTCCCGGAGGCTCCGGCCGTGAGGGAGTTGCCGCACAACCAAGGCATTTCTCTCCAGAGGGCAACGCCTGGGGTCCCCATCGGCGACCTTGGTGTTGGCGCAATCCTCAGAGGTGGCAGTCCAGGGCTGGAGTGACATCAGTCCACGCTAAATCACACGGGTTGGGCTTCAATTTGTGATTCTCCCACCTCAGCCTCCCAGACTCCTGGGATTACAGGTGTGCACCTCCACACCAGCTCCTACATCCCCAGCCCTTTTAAAATTTTATTTTATTTTTGAGATAATGTCTCACAGTGTAGCCCAGGCTGGCCTAGAACTGGAGGTGATCCTCCTGCTTCACCCTACCTAGTGCTGGGATCACAGATGTGTGCCACCACACTGGCTTAATTTTTTTTTCTTTGGTACCAGGGATCGAACACGGGTCCTTGTGCTTTTGAGGCAGGTGGCAGAACCACTGAGCTAAATCCCCAGCCCCACACTGGCTTAATTAAAAAAAAATTTTTTCCCTACTTTTTTTTTTTTTTATTATGAGACAGGGTTTTGCTAAATCTCAAATTGCTCAGACTGGGCTTGACCTTGCAATCCTCCCACCTCGGCCTCCCAGAGTGCTGGAATTACAGGGGTTGGTTGGGATATTTGTGTGGAGTGAGGCCTCTGGCTGCCCAGGCGTCTGGAAGCCTCCCTCCTTTTCCTGCTGTTCTTTTCTTTCCAGAGAGGTCTCAGGCTTCACATTTGCTCCTCTTGGCTCTGCGTTTTGCACCTCAAGGGCAGTGGCTGAGTCCCGCTGCAGGCCCAGGCCCAGGTAGGACAGGGTCTGACCGAAGCTTTCTAGGCTCAAGGTCGTTTTGCATCAGCATCCGTCCGGGCGCTGTGGAAAGGTCTCTGATCCTTCATCCCATGCTGTCTTCCCTAAGTCAGTAGCAGCTCCAGCCCAGCCACAGGCTCAAGCCATTGCCAAGTCAGTGCTCAGCGTGCAGGGGGCTGTTTTCAGACACCAAGGCATGAGAAGAGCCCCACGCTGCTGCACCTGGAAAAGACCCACACGACCCATCCCTGTGCGTCACGCCTTGGGATGTGTGTGCCAGGACACAGCTGGGGGCTGCAGGACAGATGTGGCCCTCAGCCCACAGTTGTCCTGAACTTGATCATGTTCCAAGTGCACTGCCGAGCCATGGAAATGCTATGTGGTGGCATAAAGATTATTTTGAGCTGAAGGTGTTGGAGCACCTGAAATCCCACATCTGCCAGAAAGCAGAGCCTCCCGAATGAGTCAGCAGAACTCAGCTATCACAGATCCCTCCTGAGAGCAGCTAGGAAAGTTGACTTGGATCTCTGGGTTGGAGAAGTCAGCACCAAGTCTACACAAACACTGCCACGGAATCATCAGCTCTCCGGTCTCTGCACAATCCTTTCCCCTCCCTCTTCTATTAAAATGCTTATTACAGCAGCTTATGGTGGGGCCTGCCTGTAACCCCAGCTACTCAGGAGCCTGAGGCAGGAGGATCACAAGTTCTAGGCCAGCCTGGACAATCAAGCAAGACAGTGTCTCCAAGTAAGAGAGGCTGGAAAGGTGGCTTGATGATTGCATCCCCCTGTTCGATCCCCAGCACCAGGGGGTGGGGTGGGGGACAGTTATAACAAAACCCCAAATTCTAACCACCTCTTGAGTCATATTTTTCTGTGAACTTTTTTATGTATGTGGGACCGGGGATTTAGCTCAGTGGTTCTGCTGCCTACCTCGAAAGCACAAGGTCCTGAGTTTGATCCCTGGTACCAAAAAAAGAAAAAAAAAAGTACACTTTTATGTACGTGAATAAAAATACTAAATTGTGTCTTTTCTCTTGCGACTCTGTCTTCAGTCAGTTTAATTTGAAGGCTGTCATTCAAAGAAAGGTATTTTCCTCTCTACGAGGTCAAAAAGATAGTAACAGGGTACCACGGACCAGATGGTAGGAGTGATTCTAGGCTTAAGGGTCAGAGGGGACATCTGAGGATGGAGGGCCAGAGGGCTTTCTTTCAAAATTAGAAGAAAAAAAAAAGGAAAAGGAGAAGAAACTGGGCATGTATGTAATCCCACCTATTCAGGAGGCTGAGGCAAGAGGATTACAAATTTGAGGGCAGCCTGGGAAATTTAGCACGACCCTGGCTCAAATAACAAACAAACAAACAAACGTAAACTTTGGTTCCCTGCTTCAATCTGTTAGATTTACAGCGGGGGAGGGGGCAGGAATCCACAAATCTTGCAGAACGACATTGACAACATTGGAATGGGGTAGGCGTTTGGCCAGAGGCTCTGGAATCTCGAAGACCTCTGCCTGGGAAATCCAGGACAGCTCCCGGAGGAGGTGACATGGGGGAATTAAAAACCAAGGCTGGGTGCTCGCTTAGAGAAGATTAGCATGGCCCCTGCGCAAGGATGACACGCAAATTCGTGAAGCGTTCCGTTAAAAAAAAAAAAAAAGAAAAAGAAAAAAACAAAAAACAAGGCCGGGTCACTCGTCTGACTCAGTCCTTGGGGAGCAGGGCAGGGCGCGGTCAGAAGCCTCCCGAGGTATCTTGGCCTGCTGGGCACTCGTAGCCCGCCCCTTTCTCACGTGATGCGCATTGGCCGCGCCGTCGCTCCGCAACCCAGGTTCGAGTCCCCGCTTCGGCCTCCATGGCGGACGCGGAGCCGGGGACCGAGGGCGGCAGCGAGCACGGCGGCGGCGGCGGCCGGGCTCCCCCCGGCCAGGGCCGCAGCGCGGCGCACGTGGCCCCACTGGGCCCCGAGCAGCTGCAGCGGGTGCTAGAGCAGGTGACGAGGGCGCAGCCGCCGCCGCCCTTCGTACTGCAGGACGCGGCGCGGCGGCTGCGGGACGTGGCCCAGCTGGCCGCCCTTCAGCGGCCTCCGGGTGCCGAACCCCCGCTCCCGCCGCGCCTGCTGCCGCCCCAGGTGAGGCGCCGGGGGTCGGAGGGAAACTGAGGCCCGGAGGGGGCCGGGGCGGGCTCGTCGGCCTCGGGGAGACTCGGCTGAGAGGTCCTGTCGCCGCTTTAGAGCAAGGGCGACCCGAGCCGAGCTCCGTGGTCCCTGATCGCCTCGCTTTGCTCTTCCTACGGCCTTGGTCCATGCAGCATTTATTGAGCGCCCACTGCGTCCGGGACTGCCCCAGAGGCAGGGGTGCAGCTGGCACACACGCGATGAAGAACATAAGGCAGATCTGGGGGTGATGGGGCTGCTGCCCAGTGCGTGTCCCTGGCCTGACGCGGCAGCCCAGACCTGGATACACTAAAGGAAACCACGCAGAGCGCTCGTGGGATGAGAAGCGCAGCGAGTGCCAAGGCAGACTCAGGACAAAATCGAGCACATATTCCAGTAATTTGCAGCGGTAGCACCCCCAGTGGCAGTGGCTGTGATTTGTGACCCCAGTGCCCAGCACAGTGTGCGGTACAGCTTAGAGCACGAGACTCATGAACGCGCTCTGGGACAGCCACTCTCACCAGGTGTCTTTCCCGGGTCACACAGCTCTTGGCCTCTGGGGTAGTTGACACTAGGGCGTGGCCTCCCACACTAGGGGTCCAGGTAGCCTCTGAAGCTCAAGGTCCTACACATCTGTGTGAAATCACGTCCTTTTCGCTCTGGGTTGCAAATGACAAAAGACTTCTCATCCTAAAATTGCCAAAAGAAAAGAGCTTCTAGCTGAGTATGATGGCAGTGTACCTGTAACCCCAGCACTTAGGGAGGATGAGGCAGGAGGATCACAAGTTCCAGCCCAGTCTGGGTGGCTTAGTGACTTTGCAAAAATCTGTCTCAAAAGAAATAAAAGAGCTGGAGATATAGCTCAGTGCAAAGGCCTTAGGTTTGATCCCTCAGTACCACAAAAACAAACAAAAAAATCACCACCAACAGAAAACTTCTTCCACTGGAAGAAATGGGATATTGACCGAGTGATTTTGGCTACACAGCCTTGTACTCAGTTGACCATCAAGACTGGAGAGCTGGCCAGGCATGGTGGTGCATGCTTGCCATCCTAACATTCTGGGAGGCCGAGGCAGGAAAAATCATGAGTTTGAGCCAAGCCTGGGCAACTTAGTGAGACCCTATCTCAAAATAAAAAGGACTGAGGATATAGCTCAGCACAAAGGCCCAGGGTTTATTCCCCAATACAATGAAAAAGGGGGGAAAATGAGTGGAGAGCTGTCTTGTAAAAGTAAGAAAGATGAATATGGTTCTGCCCCAATGCTACACTTGCTAGGGCCATAGCTTTAGGCCACTCAGCCTCTGGATGGTTCCCTGCTGAAGAGCCAGGTGCCTCCCCCACTGCTGTGCACTGCAGGTCCTGTCAGAAGAGTGTGGGGCACTGTCCTGTGGCTGCTGCTGTCTGCAGAGCTCCTTCCTGGCCACTGTGGCTGAGCACTGTTCCCAGCAGTCAATAGTGCTTTTTTTTTTGTACCGGGGATCAAACTCGGGACCTTAAGCTTTTGAGGCAGGTGGTGGAACCGCTGAGCTAAATCCCTGGCCTGTCAGTAGGGCTTTTGTACCAGCATTTTCCAAGTGGGGAAAGGCTTGGAGAGAGAGGGTGATTCTGCCCACGGTCCTGCAGGTGTGGCTACACTCAGGAGCCTTTGTCCTCACCATACCCATGGCAGCATCTTCTTGCATTTGGCGTAGCAGCTTCAGAAAGATTCCAGCAATAACATATTCCCATCCAGTAGAAACAGACCTAATCCAGGTCAGTCCACATGATAGCCTGACCTCTGCAGCCAGTCTGGTGGCAAAAGGTGTAAACTCTACTTGCACACACAGTAATGTCCCTTTGGGGGCCCATTTTGCTAATACGCTTCCAGCCTCAGGCGTGCCATGGAGGCCAGCAGGCAAAGCAGACCTACACTTGTCACTCAGGAGCTTGTGGACAGGAAGTAAGGGCTGACCCAGAGAGCTAATCAACATCAGACAGCTGGAGGACTGGCTGCCTTTACAGAAAGGGAGAGGATGTTTGGTGCAGGGATCTGAAACCTGTGCTGGAGAGGTGGTATTTGAATAAGGTGCAGAGGGTGCATTTGAACTGAGACTGCAGGAGAGGATAGGAGAGGCGGGGCTCTGGGCAGGGGCCTCAGCGCTTCACTGTGGGCCTGACGTGGGTCAGAGTGTGGGAGTCACTGTCCCTGCCGTCCCCATCCTGGCCCCGCAGGAACATTTCCACCGACATGGGACCTCCGTCGTGCAGCCTGTACTGGCTCATGGTTCCCTTATGCTAACCCCCAGAGACCCCTTTCTCACTTGGCAAAGGTTCTGCAGCCTGCAAAGCCCTCCTCAGAGATTAGCTCTTCTGGGAATCCCGTCCCCCAGGCTTTCTTACTCTCATCGCACTTGTGGGTTTCATTTACGTTTTTATTTTTTGAGACAAGTCCTTACAGTGGACTCTTGACTTACGAGCTCAATTCATTTTGAGGGCTGGTTGTAACTCAAGTTGGTCAATGAAGGCTCAGGCTCCTGTACACAACCTTCGGATTCTCCTGTACTCTCCTGTACACAGGCAGATCTCTGTCCTTAGAGAGACACTGGCCCGGGATTTCTCAGTTAACCCCACGCAGGAGAGGATGCTGTAATGTTCCTTCCACAACTCTTTAAGGGTTAAATCTGTACCTGCAACCATCCGGAAGCATAAGCGGCTGGCATTCAAGTTATAACTCAAGACTGTTCATAAGTTAAAACTAAAATTCTGGTCGTATCCAAGGTTGCTTGAATGTCAGGCCAGTTGCACCTCGAGGGTCCACTGCACTTTGTGGTTCTTGCTGCCCTTGAGCTCACTACATACCCAGGCTGGCCTCAGACTCACAGTGATCCTCCTGCCTCAGCCTCGTGAGTGCTGGGATTACAGGGGTGAACCACCAATGCTCGGCATGAGTGCGTTTTTTTAAAAAATGGAATCCTAAAGGTGGAATTGCTAGGTCAAAAAGCACATGTATTTAATTTGTTAGGGTTTTTTTTTTTTTTTGAGACAGTGTCTCACTATGTAGTTCACACTAGTCTTGAACCTACTAGGTACCCTAGGCTGGCCTCAAACTCAGCAATCCTCCTGCCTCAGCTTCCCAAGTGTTGGGATTACAGGAGCCAGCCTCCATGCCTGACAATTTGTTGTATATTTTTATTTTCCCTATTTTTTAAAATAGCAGAGATTGAACCCAGGCCTTCACACTGAGCAGCATATTGAGCTCTTTTATTTCATTTTATTTTGAGCCAGGGTCTTGCTAAGTCACTAAGTTGCCCAGGCTGGGCTTGAACTTGTGATCCTCCTGCCTCAGCCTCCCAGAGTGCTGGGACTAATGGGGGATACCACTGTACCTACTAGATATTTTTAACAAGAACCTGGACATACGCAGCCCCACTCTGCAGTGTGTGTCCCTGGAGAAACTCAGGGTGTGCACACCTGCGAGGCGTGGCGCACACCATCAGGACAGGGTTAGCAGCCAGCTGCCCCACCAGGAGGACGGTGCCCCCAGAAGTGCATTTCCCAGGGCAGAGTCAGGAACGAAGACTTGGGATGCCCAGGGTCACACGTGTATAAAGTTGGAGGCACGCCCAAACGCAGTGCTAGTTTCAGGCTTGTCTCTGTGCAATGTAAACGCTAAAACACACTGGAATGATAGTAACAGCTTCGGCTTGGAGAAAGGGAAGGTGTGGAGGCGGGGGATGTCAGAGGGCTTCACCAGCTCAGGTGCTGCCCGTGCTGAGGCGGGCGGTGCAGACCCAGTTAGGTTGTTCTTCGTGGCTTTTTTAGTTTTGAAAATTTACTTTTATTTTTCCCCCCAGAATTTCATTAAATACTTTTTTCGCAGCTGGGCATGGTGGTGCATGCTTGGAATTATAGCACTCTGGGAAACAGGAGGATTGCAGGTTCAACCTCAGCATGGGCAATTCAGTGAGGCCCAGTCTCACAAATAAAAATAAAAAGGGCTGGGGATGTGGCACAGTGCAAAGAAAGGCTCTGGGTTCAATCTGCAGTACTGAAAAAAAAGAAAAGCGGGCCAGGGATTTAGTTCAGTGGTTCCAGTCCTGCCTTGCAAGCGCAAGGTCCCGAGTTTGATTCCCGGTACCAAAAAAAAAAAAGAAAAGAAAGGAAAGAAAAAATTTTAAAAATGAGCTCACATATTGAATTGACTCCAACTTAGAGCACAGAACTGAGGAGTCTAAGTGAAAACACCTGGGTAAAACTAAAGCAGGTGTTGTTTCTTAAGTTATGAGGTCAGGCTCATAGATTACAACGAGTGTTTTCAGTCAGGTTTAGAACCCATATCCTCCTCATTGAGCTCCATCCCCAGCCCTTTTTGAATTTTTTTTTGGTACCAGGGATGGAATTCGGGACCTTGCGCTTGTGAGGCAGGTGGTGGAACCACTAAATCCTTGGAAATTTCTTTTCTTTTCTTTTCTTTTTTTTTGAGGGAGGGTCTTGCTAAATTGTCCAGGCTGGGCTCAAACTTGTGATCCTCCTGCTTTGACTTTTTAGAGTGCTGGGATTACAGGCCAAAATCACTGCACCTGTAGTTCATGAACTTTTTATTTCATTCATACCTCCAAGTGGTTCAGCACATGCATACTGTTGGATGTAATATGTATTCCTATGCCTATGGTCAGAAAGGTTTGAAAAACAGCAGTCTAGCTGGGAACCTGTTATCCTAGCACTTGGGAGGCTGAGGCAGGAGGATTGCTATGAGTTCTAGGCCAGCCAGGGCTACATAGTGTGACCTCATCTCAAACAAGCAAGCAAAAAGAAAAGCAGCACTATTAGCAGTAGACATAATTACAGAAATAGTTGTATATAAGATGTACAACTTAGAACAATCCCAACCATGGTTTGCTGTGAGGGCAAATTGCAGAGATACTGGCAACATAATGCTTCTTTCTCTCTCCTGCTTTTCTCTTTCCGTATTGAAGCAACTGGAAGCCATTTGTGTCAGGGTGACATCTGGAGATAAAGGTCATGAGAGGCCAGTGCGCCCACTGGCCACCATCCGACCCCAGACCGGAGGACAGCGCCCATTGCCCGGGAGCCGGCCCAGCCCAGTAGGGCTTGGGGTGCAGCCTGTGGCTCCTGGGGGACCTGTGCCAGCCAAGAGGGCGAAGGCCGCACCTGCCCCAGGTGGCCTGGGCACCACACCGACCCCTCTGCCAGCCTCTGACCCGCCCTCGGGGCCACCTGCTGTGTCAGGCTCAGCACATTCGTCCCCGGCTGGCTGGCACACAGAGAGGGTCAAGAAGCTTAAAAAGTCTCTGAAGGTGAAAACGCGTTCTGGACGGGTATCCCGGCCTCCCAAGTACAAAGCCAAAGACTATAAATTCATCAAGACGGAGGACCTGGCGGATGGGCGGCCATCGGACTCAGATGACTACTCAGAGCTGAGTGCTGGGGACGAGGAGGAGCAGCAGGACCCACAGGCGCTGTTCGCTGCCACCAGCTGTGCCCTGCAGCCCCGGGCCTTCCGATGCCCCACCTGTGACAAGGCCTACATTGGGCAGGGTGGGCTGGCCCGGCACTGGAGGCTGAACCCAGGCCATAGCTCACTGCAGCCTGCACCGTTCCCCGAGAAGGGGCACACGGAGGCCAGCACTGGGCGTCTGGCCTCCCTAGCGCCGCCCACACTGCTTGCACCCTGCCAGGACAGGGCAGAGACAGCACAGGGCGGCCCGCAGGTAACACTTCTGTCTGGTGTCAGTGCCCTGTCCCTGCCCCTCTCTGCCCTCCCTGATGAGGTGCAGGACCAGGTCATCATCATGGGACCAGGGCCCACTATGTCTACACTGCTGGCAGGCAGACTAGGACACGTGCGTCCTCTGCCCTGGCCTCAGTGGGTGGCACGTAGCCGGCACGTAGCCACCAGCCCTTTAGACCTGGTCAGTATGGCTAATGCCACTTCCCAGGCATTGGGCATTGGTACAGTCGCAACTCTGCCCGTTCAGCGCTTCCAGTGCCACAGGAACATTTGCCCAATGGTTTTTTGATGATTAAAAGATGTTAGCCTGGTGTGGTTGCACAGACCTGTAATTGGAGCACTCGAAAGGAAGGCTGAGGCAGGAGGATCAGCCAGCCTGGGCTACATAGTGAGTTCAGGGGCCGGGGATATAGCTCAGTGGCAGCGCGGCTGCCTCACAAGTGCAAGGTCCTGAGTTCCATCCCCGGTACCAGAAGAAAAAAAAAAACACATACTATGTGTTTTTCACATAGAGTTCAAGGCCAGCATGCACTACATAGCGAGACCCTGTTTCAAAAAAACAAAATGAGGGCTGAGGACTTAGCTCAGTGGTTCCGCTGCCTGCCCCACAAGCACAAGGATCTGTTGTCTTTCTTTTTTTTTTTTTGGTACTGGGGATCAAACTCGGGTCCTTGCGCTTGTGAGGCAGGCAGCAGAACCACTGAGCTAAATCCCCGGCCCAACATTCTTTATTGTTACTGAGTTTGTCTATATATTTCAGATATTAATCCTTTATAAGATTTGATTTGCAAGTATTTCCCCCTATTCTGTGTGCCTTTTTATTCCAGTGTTAGGGACCTTTTTTTCCACATGAGACAAGTAACATGTCAACAGAAACTTCAGGGGAAACATCTTGCCTAAAGGTGTGAAAACTCAGGCATGCTGTGCACTACAAGAGGATTGGTTAGCGGCTCCTCCCACCCCCAGTACTGGGGATGGAATGCAGGGCCTTTGCATTAACCTACATGCCCAGCCCGTCTTTTATTTTACTTTATTTATTTATGTATTTATTTTTGGTACCGGGGATCAAACTTGGGACCTTGCACTTTTGAGGCAGGCAGCAGAACCACTGAGCTAAATCCCCAGCCCTAAGCATGTACTCTAACCCTGAGCTACATCTCCAGTCACCAGGTTAATTTTGTTGTGTTTTGTTTTGTTTTTTGAGACAGGGTCTTGCTATAGAGTTCAGGCTGGCCTTGAACTCACTAAGTAAACTAGGTTGCCCCCAAACTCTGGCAATGTGCCTGACTCAGCCTCCTGAGTGCTAGGATTATAGGTGTGCTCCACTATATTTGGTGACCAGGTTGGTTTTTAAGGTGTTGGTCACATCGGAGGAATTCATATTTCATTTTGATCAGCATCTCAGGGGTTAGTTTGTTAGCTGAGACCTGCTGGCTTGCTAATAATCATCTGTTGTCCAAAGGGGTACTGTGCTGGGAAAGTTTAAGATGCAACTGATTGTAGTTAAGAGTCTGAGTCGAAGAAGAAATAATTGGCCAAGCGTGCTGGCACTTGCCTGTAATTCAGGCTACTTGGAGGCTGAGGCAGGAGAATCATAAGTTTGAGGACAAACCGGGCAACTTAGTGAGACCCTGTCTCAAAATAAAAATAAAAAGGGTTGGGGATGCAGCTGAGTAATAGACTGCTTGGTTCAATTGTCAGTATGGCTAAGCAAAAAAAAGAGCAAATTCTTCCCTTGACTTATTTCTGGATTAAGGCTTTCCTGGTAGCTTAGAGAGCATGATTATTTTGCTTTGGTTTCTTTGGGTGTAAAACATGATCTAGAACGCTCAGTGCACAGAGGGTGTGGAGGCGATGGTGCTGGAGCAAGACAACAAAAGTCACTCAGCTCTGGGTTTTCCACGTGGAGATGCCGAGGGCCCGGCAGAGTCAGGCACAGCCATCATCCGGAGCGGGGCAGCCCAGCCGAGTGGAGGGCAAGCTGTGGCTGCAGGGCCCAGCACCTGCAGGAGCAGAGCCCGGCTGCAGGAGGTAAGTGGCCCTTACGCTCTGCCCAGGAAGCTTCTGTGGCATGGGAGGTGGCAATTCGTTGTCAGCTCTCTGAATTTAAGACAGCCTGCCAGAGTCGGGCGTGGTGGTGCACTCCTGGAACCCCAGTGCTCTGGAGGCTGAGGCAGGAGGAGCTCCAGCCTGGAGCTACAGAGTGAGTTCTAGGCCAGCCTAGGCTGCGAAGTATTATCTGACATAAGGTGTACATTTACCTGTTTAAAATGGCCGCAGAATGGCACGCAGCTCCCAGAAATGCTTGCCTTTGTGAGTTTGGGGCAGTTATGACCAGGTGTACATGGAAGCATTTAGAAAACAGAAAGGGCTTCTTCCTTTTCTGTAAAAAGCTGCACGGTTTATAAAGTAGGTTTTAGGTTTACAACCCTCTCATCTCCATTCGAATTTAACTGGATGCTGGGCATAGTGAGGCACACCTATAATCCTAGTGCTCCACGCAGAAGGAGCGCTATGAGTTCGAGGCCAGCCTGGGCTACACAGTGAGACCTTAAAAAAAAATCATTTTTAAACTGGATTGATTACAAAGAATGGAATCCTAAATATACCCAAACTGTTTGGCTAGAATATGTTTGGCTGGCCACAGCCAGGTGAGTATCTTTTACTTTCTGTTGAGTGCAGGGTGGAGCCCGGGCCTTTCGCATGTGAGGTCAAGTGTCCTACCCAGGTAAATCTTAGCAGCAGGTCGGAGTTGGGGGACACGTCAGTGACAGCTGGCCAGAGTGGCAGGCGAGGGCCGGGCGCGGGAAGTGGGTTTCCGAGCGGAAGTGGTTTCCTGAGAGTCCTTGAGCAATGCTGCGCATTCCACCAGCAGAGGAACCCTGGGGAGTTGCTTCGCTCCTGCTGGGGCTGCACCGGGATGCCCTTGGGGATCAGTTTTCAGCAGTGGGCGACTGGCGGCTTCACCTGGCATCATTGGCCGGTGTTGAAAACAGGGCCCGGATTTCTCGCTGCCTCGCAGGCAGCTCAGGCTGCCCCAGTCCACGGCCTCTGCACCACGCTCCCATGGACATCACTGTCCCGCCTGGCAGAGGGACAGCTGCCACAGGGGGGCCCCTGAAGATGGGAGGTGGGTGGGGAATTGGGGTCCAAGTTGTTTGGTGTCCGTCCGTTGGGAAGGGGTGGCAGGGCGCTGGAGAGGTGAAGACGGCCCTCTGTACACAGCAGCTCTGGGCAGTGACACTGCCAGCATGATGGCAATGGCTGCCGTCCACAGAGCGGCCGAGACATTGTCCACCTGGAGGAGGATTTCCAGGAAGCGGGTGTGAATTCAGTATCTACCAGGTGCCCGAAGTATCAGTCCACTCGGCCCGAGCCAGGCCTCGGAATCTCCCTGTGCCTGTCCCTGGCTGAGCTGCTCCTCGCCTGGCTGCCCACACCTTCTGCCCACTGCAGACTCCACACTGTACTTCCGGGCCGGACCCCTCTGGAGCTCTGCTCACTTCCTCGAAACCACCCAGGGCTGCCACGAGCCCTTCCATGTCGGAGGGGCTCACAGGCTGACTTTCCACTGTGTTGTAGAGGGCACTCCTCTATGTAGGACAGGCTGGCCTCCCAACTCTCAGGGATCCTCCTGCCTCAGCCTCCTGAATGCTGGGATTACAGGGATGAGCCACTGCACCCGGCTTTCTTACTACTTTCCTCTTTACTCGCCCCTTTTCAGGCCTGCGGCTGCTCAGCCCTCTCTTCCACCCACACCCGTCATTAGCTAGGTCCTCATCCCCTCCAGCTGGTCCCTTGGTGCACTCTGCTGAGGCACATGCAGGGCCTCCAGCCCAGCTGCATCCCTGAGCCACCACCTAGGGGCTGCCCTGAGCCCCTCCCCTGCCACCTCTGGAAGGAAACCCAGCCAGGCCCTTCCAGTTGCTGCTGCCTCTGCTCCTGGCCCCAGGCCCACAGGGCACCTCTGTAACTTGGCACATGCCTCTGATGCTGCAGCTCCTGACTCCTTGGACTGAGTCCCCTGCATATGTCAGGGAGCCCTGCAGGGAGCACTCATGTTTCCTCTGGCCATGTCCTCCTTGCAGGGCTGGTAAGCAGCACTGTACTCAGTACTCAGACTTAGAACCTGGAACTGACTGTGGTTCTTTGTTCATGGGTGAACAAGTGAATTTCTTTTTTTTTTTTCTTTTTGGCACCGGGGATTGAACTCCGGCCCTTGCACTTGCGAGGCAGGCAGCAGAAATACTGACCTAAATCCCTGGCCCTATAAGTGAATTTCTTAATAAAGCAGACTGTTAACCGGGCGTGGGGGTGCATGCCTGTATCCCAGCACTCAGAAGGCTGAGGCAGGAGGATCGCAAAGAGTCTGAGTCCACCTGGGCTACATAGTGGTTCAACGCCAACCTGAACTACATAGTGAGGCCCTGTCTCAAAATAACTATACAAACCAAACCAAACCAAACCAAACCAAATCTAAAACAAAACCAAACAGAAGGTTTTGAGTTGGTTGCTGAGTTTCGGGGAACTTTGTCTTGCATCCTGAAAGTGGTGAACACTTTCTTTGGCAGTCGCTCCAGCAGTGCGGCCCAGAGGACCTGGTGGAGCTGGTGCTGCCCCAGCTGGCGCAGGTGGTGACTGTCTACGAGTTTCTCCTGGCGAAGGTGAGTCTTCCAGGGTCTGCAGCCACATGGGCAGCCGCAGCATGCAGGGTCTGGACCAGCATCACTTCCCCAGGACGGGCCCACGGAAGGGCGATGGAGGTCTCTTGGGCGCCGGGCTGTGGTCAGTGTTGGGGAGCAGCAGCCCTCCTGGCCCCACCCCGTCCAAGGCCACCTCCACGGCAGCCTCTGCCTCCCTGGCCGCTGCCTGTCTTCCTGTGGAAGGAGGACTCCCTGCCAGGCCGAGCGCGTGGGTGCAGGGACCCGTGCTCCTCCCTTTCCCCCGTGTCAGTGTCACTGCCCTAGGTGTGAGCTCTTCTTGTTCCCCGTCCTCGTCCTCGAGAAGACCAAGGAGGGCCGTGCAGGGCAGCCCCACTTCCCGGCCGTGTATAAGGAGTTCGAAGAGCTGCACCGCAGGGTCAAGGCCATGTGTGAGGAGCACCTCAGCCGGGCGGGCCCTGCTTCTCCAGACCCCCTGGAAGTCAGCGCCCCTCAGGTGACGCCTCGCGCTCGGGCTGGGGGGTGGGGGTGGGGGCGCGTTCATAGCGACGGCTTCAGTCCCCGCGCATGGCTTCCCCTACAAGTGCAGTGTTGGTTTCTTTAATATAGAAATGATAAGTGCTTCACCTGAAAACCCCCAAATGCAGATACCCCCAAAGCGAGTGAAAACCCCACTGTCATTTCCTCCGTGATGATGGGGGCTGAGGCTGGGGCTGCTTTTCTCTTTGTTCCATACTGGGGTAGGCGTGCAGGGCCAGCAGCTGTCAATCGTGCGGTTTTGCTGCTGTTGCTGTGTTTTGGCACTGGGCATTGAGCCGAAGGCCTTTGTGTTCAGCTCCATCTCTGGCCTTTTTTTTCTCTTTGAGACTGGGTCTTGGTAAGTTGCCAAATTCCCCAGGCCAGGCTCAAACTTTGTTGGCTTTGTTGTCGTTTGTGTTTTGAGACAGGATCTCACAATGTAGTCCAAGCTGGCCTTGAACTCATGGCAATCACCCTGCCTCAGCCTCTTGAGTGCTGGGATTACAGGTGTGTGTCACTAGGCCCCAACTGGCAAGCTCCTGTCTACCAGCTTCTTTCTCTTCAGGTGGCTGAGTCCTTAGGAATCACAGAATTCCTGAGGAAGACAGAAGCACACCCAGACTACACTGGAGCCCAGTGCCACAGTCTGGGGAGGGCCGGGCCGAGGCCTGAGGAAGCCGGCAGTTGGCAGGGGGTGTGTGAGGTGGGCAAGGCTGTGAGTGGGCAGCTGTCTGGTGGTGTTGGGGTTCCTATTGGTCTCCGGGGTGGGGACAGGAGTGGGGTGCCTTGGGTCTGGTCTCAGTGCGTGTCTCTTTCTACAGGCTGCACAGGAAGTGCCTGCAGCACGGAAGCCCCAGCAAGCACCTCTGCCCTCGGGCGGCCCTGAGCACCCTGCTGCCCATGGTGCAGCCTGGGAGATCCCTGAGCCGGGTGTGCCCACTGCCAGTGAGGGTAATGCAGCGCAGACGTGCCCTCGCAGGGTGGGGAGCCTGTCTCCCGTGTTCAGCCCTGAGCCCTCAGGCCTGGGTCCCCTTAGAGGGAGGAGTCACCCTATGGGGAGCAGTCTGCACCCGAGGGCCCCTGGAGGTTGGCAGAGCTGACCCCAAGGACACCAAGTCCGCTGTGTGGCTTTCAGGAGACCTGGCTCTGACAGCCAAGTCAGACAGGAAAACAGGGCACCTCCTGGCCTTTCTTCTGGCCCGAGATGCTGTCACCAGTCCCCACACACATTTGGTACTGGCCATGGCTCCCCAGCCTGTGTGGCTTCGTCAAGGCCCGGTCCCCTGCTTGGGCTGAGGGCTCCAAGTGAAGCAGGAGTTCAGAACTCCCCACCCTGGGAAGGCAGGTGCGCCAGGGTGGTGATGGCTCTGGCTCTGCTTGGACGTGGCAGCCTCCCGGGCATTTCCTCCTTAGCTTCATCCACCCTCAGAAGCTTAGTGGTCACTCTTGCTCTTCAGCTTAGCCACTGGCTGTTCATTCAGTGACAGAATAAAAGCACACTACTGACTGGCTCTCGGGATACTTTGTTTTTTGGTACCAGGGATCGAACTCAGGACCTTGTACTTGCAAGGCAGGCACCAGGACCACTGAGCTAAATCCCCAGCCCCTCTTGGGACACTTTGTTTGAAATAGGGCCTCACTGTGTAGTCCAGGCTGGTTTTGAACTATGTAGCCCAAGCTGGCCTCAAACTCATGGTGATCCTCCTCCCTCAGCCTCCTGAGTGGAGATGACAGGCATGTGCTACCACACCCAGCTGGGACACATTTCTAAGACAAAACCTGCCTTTGTGAATCTATGAAATTTGATTTGGACCAGCTCACTGTGAGCTGAATAGACTGTTACACACCACACATATGCTTACCTGTTTTTCTGATCTGTTTAGGTTTCACCCCTCCCCGTTCTGAAGGCAGCCGCAGGATGACAGTTTCCAATGGTGACCTAAGTGTGTCACACCCAGGTCCGCAGCTTAAAGTATGTGCTGACTCCGAAGCCAGATGTGGGTCTGCAGGGCCTGCTGTCCTGTGTGGGGACAGCTGTGGACCAGCTCCCTGTGCCCAGCTTAGAGAGCCCAAGGAGAGTGATCCCGACAGCGGGGCCACCCCCGGGAGTCCAGGAGTCTGCAGCACCCCATCACCAGAAGCTGCAGGTGCAGAGCCAGGGAGGCCGGGCGCTGGGCCCATGGCCCCACCATTCGAGATTGCGGCCATGGACATCAGGCCAGAGGGCTGTGCTGGCAGGACTGACCCAGCTGGGTTGCCATTAACTACAGGAAGCCACGCCCAGGACCTGCAGCAGCTCCTCCGAGGGATGGAAGTGCACCTGGGCCAGGGAGGCCTGGAACATGTGGTTGCTGTCAGGGATGCCGTGGGTTTTGAAATCACAAATGGGTCCCCAGAGGTGTTGTCTGAGGCCCAGGAGCAGATCTTCATCCAGGCTGCTGACGGGCTCCTCCTGCCCCATGCCGGTTCTGTAGTGACCCCAGAGAGTGCTGTCTTAGTGACTGGCATAGCAGGGCGGGGCCTGCATGTCGGGCCCCTAGAAGGCACCCCCCTCCCTGTGCAGGCAGAGCCCTCCCAGTGAGGCCAGCAGAGGCGTGGCCTGTATCTGTGCTTTATCCGGAGTCCATGGTGGGCAGCAGTGTTTCCTAATGTTAACCCTGACACAGATGAGCCTTGGGTATATAGAGTAACGTCTAGGGCCAGGCGCATAATCCCTAAGTGCCTGTAATCCCAGCACTTAGGAGGCTGGGGGAGGAGGATCACCATGACTTCAAGGCCGGCCTGAACTACTTAGGGAGTCCCTGTCTCCAAAAACAATTAGATACCCTAATCTGGTAGGGTGTGCCCCTTTGGAGCAATGGTGGGGTGACTTACTGGGGTCTATAGGGAGCTGGAGCTCAGGAAAAACTCAGTATTTTGACAGTATATTTGTCAGTCAGGTTTTTGGGGTTTTTTTTGACAGAGTCTCAATATGTACTTCAGGTTGGCCTTGAGCTATGTAGCCCAGGCTGGCCCCCTGGCTTGGGGCAATCCTCCAGCCTCAGTCTCCCAAGTGCTGGGATTACAGGTGTGCACCACCAGGCCCGGCTTGTAGTCTTCTTTTGAGGCTGTTTTGTTTCTCCGCAAGTATTTGTTCTTTGGAGCCGTAGTTTCTGTGTTACCGGGCTATACCGGTCCCACAGCCTGGAGTCCCTTGGATTGCTTTCTCTGGGGAGGAAATCACCCATACACGAAGCCCAGGCTGTGCTCCTGTGACATGCACATGTCTATGCTCTTTGCTCCACGGGTCTGCTGAGCTGGATGTCTTCCCCCTGGTCCTGGGGTCTCTGCAGAAGTTTTGATTTGGGTTTGAGGCCTTTGTTCTGAGCACAGGGCTGAGCTTGTAGTAGGAGGGGGAGGAGAGAAAGCAGAAGCTAAGGCTGCACCCATGGGCACAGGAGTCCATGTACCAAAGGAAGCGCACCCACCACTGCCAATTAGCAGCAGAGCCTTGGGCCATGCATGCCTGGCCCTGGGCATTTCCTCATCTGGAAAAGGACAAAGCAGAGGCGCTGCCCTGAGCTGTCTGCTTGCCTGGATGAGCTGGGTGTGGTGGTACACACCCGGTGTCCCAGCTACTCAGCAGGCTGAGGCAGGAGGGTCACATGTTCCAGGCCAGCCTGGGCAACCTCCTGAGACCCTGAGTCAGAAAGGCCTGGGGATGTAACTCCGTGGCACAGCATCTCTTGAGTTCAACCCCCAGTACCACCAACGAAGGTCTTGATGAACTTAGCTAAGTAGCGTGTTCATGGCTAAATGTCAGAATGCTAAAATGGCACAAAAGCTCATTTGAAAGGGCTAGGGATGTTGCTCAGTGGCACAGCATTTGCCTGGAGTACTCAAGGCCCTGGGTTCCATCCCCAGCTCCCACACTGTGTTTATTCAGTGTCACAAGGTCGCACAGAGCTCCTGGCCCGCCGCCCCCTCAGCGCGCACACCATGGCCATTGTGGGGAGGTGGCTTTCATCTCCAGGATGCCACTCTACCAGACTCCACACGTTATTTGTAATTACAGAACTAATATATTCTCATAAAAATTTAAATATAGGTGGGGATACAGTAAAGCTTGAAGGGAGGAGCTTCCACACGAGTGTACACTCAGTGACACAAGCGAGATCCCCCATCGTTCTGTCCCCAAGAGGGGCTCCCAGCAGGCAGCGTCCAGCAGGTACGGGTGACCAGCAGAGGTCGAAGTGGGGTCCGTGTGCCTGAAGTGGCCGTGGGGACCTCACGTGGGCCGGCAGGGGCTCAGGCAAGAGTGAAGGTCTGGGCTCGAGGTCACAGCGAGCGGTGGCCCGTCTCCAGCAGCATGCTCTCCAGGAGAAGCCTGCCCTCACGCTCCACATAGGGCTGGTGCAGCCACATGGACAGGTAGCTCAGGATCAGGTCTCGGTCCGCGGAGTGGGCCAGCTCGGCACCCACCGTGCGCTTCAGGAGCAGCTCCCGCCCATACATGTTGGAGAGCTTGCTTGAAACCTCATCTGAAACACGCAGGGGCATGAGGAAACACTGCAACTCACTATGGACCCCAGGCTGGCCTTGAACTCCGCTGATCCTCCTGCCTCAGCCTCCTAAGTGCTAGGATTATAAGCATGTGTCACCACGCCCAGTGGAAGTGTGGAGCAGCCCCCCATCTTCTTTCCTAAGTCCCTGATCTAAATGATAACGAATGCTCTAACTTCTGTCCTTCAGAACATCAGCTCCAAAGAGCTACTTACAAAAGTGGGCTGTGGGCCAGGTGTGGAACAGAGGGGGCCGTCTGTTCTCCTCCCCGTAGTAGTAATTTTCTAGCTCACAGATTCCCTTGGTGGTTGAAGACAGCTTTTCCATTTTCACCTGTATTTTGGTCTGAAAAGATATTAATTTGAATGTAAGAATATTATTTGAAATCTCCAGTCTCATATTCGATAACTGTAAGATTTCTTTTTGCTTTTTTTTTGGTACTGGGGATTGAACTCAGGACTTTGTGCTTGTGAGGCAGGCACAGTGCCACTGAGCTAAATCCCCGGCTCCAATAACTTTAAGATTTCAAAGCTAAGAAGTCCACGTCTGTTGAGGCTAAAATTGCAAAACTGAACGCCATTAGCTCTGCAGACACCAGTGTCCAGGGAGAGGGGTGGGAGCTGGACAAATGTGGTTTCAGCCGTGGACAGCTCTGGTCCTCAGCCCGGGCTCCCGGTGCTGGGGAAGAGCTCACGAAGCCCCTTGTACAGTTTCCAAGCTGGGCTCCCATTTTAGCTCTGTGACCCCAGAAGTAAGTGAAAGTGGCCTGGACAATGCTCAGGGCAGGAAGAAGGGTCCAGGACAGCACCTTAAGGGCATCAAGATTTGTGGGGTAGCCACGCATGGTGGTACCTACCTGTAATCCAGGCACCCTGGGAACCCGAGGCAGGGGGATCACCAGGAGTTCAAGCCTGCCTGGGCTGTACAGTGAGACCCTGTCTCAACCCCTCTCCAAAAGAGAAACAACAACAAAAAGGACTTGTGGGGCGAGGATAGGAAGAGACGGCTGGAGGAAGCTGGGGAAGGAAAGGGTCGCCAAGGCGCTGAATGTGCTGGGAGTAAAGCAAACCCCACACAGGTCTGTGGGGCGCGGGGACAGTGGCCACAGGCAGCTGGTGTCTCTAGGCCTCACCAGCCCCTCTAAGGTGGTCTGCAGCTCCTCACACAGCGTCTCGAGCTCCTTGTCGTAGTCTGGGTGCGTCTTTTCTTCCTCTTCCCCGGAGGCTGGGCTGCTGCTCTCCAGTTCTGCCTCGTCTTTACTCCTGGACAACGCAGAGGACAATGGGGACGGACTACTCAGCTCTGCTCGTTTCCTTAAAATAAATCCTAGAAAACTCACCACCCACACGTCTATGCCAGGCACCTTGCACCAACACTGTTGTTTTGTGCCATTACAGCACAAGGATAGTTATTATTTATATGTACGATGAATGTGTCCACTGGTCATGCAAAAATTTTCTATGGTACTGTGGATTTTTTTGTTTTTTGAGACAGGGTTTTACTGTGCAGTTAAGGCTGGCCTCGAACTTGCAGCAATCTTCCTGCTTCAGCCTCCCGCGGGTACTGTGGATTAAACACAGGGCCTTAAACATGCTAGCAAGCGCTTGACCACTGAGCTACATACCATGCTGGTCACTCAGGGTTGCACTAGAATTAGTCAGCGTCCTTGCCGTAAGGCTGGTGCTGGGTGTACAAAGCTGAACAAGATGCGACTCAGCTCCTCAGGGAGCTCATGCTCTGTGAAGGTTTTCAAACCAACAAAGGCCATGACCCTTTGCCCAGGCCTGGATATTAAAGCCTTGGCCCAGCCTTGTGCACAGGAAGGGGTGGAACCTCTGAGAGGCAGGGCCCAGGGAAGTGCCTGGTCCTGTGTGGGTGTGGCCTAGAGGGGCACTTGGCACCGCCTGCCATTGCAGCCAGGAGATGCCACCCAGAAACATGGCCTCACACATGCCCAGGAGCAATGGGGCCATGGACTGGAAGACTGGAAGCCACAATAACCTGTTCCTCTTTTCCTGGTGATCCATAGCAGGTATTTGTCACAGTAATGGAAAGCTAACACTCCCTTGGGAATGAATTAATCAAGTGGGGTCACAATTAATAATAAGAAAAAAATTAAACATGAAAATAGAGTAGAGCCAGGGATGGAGGGGGAGGCTGAGGCAGGAGGACCACTTCAAGTTTGAAGTCAGCCTAAAGCACATGGCAAGACTGTGTCTCAAAAAAAGAAAAAAAGAAAAGAAAGAGGGCTGGGGATTTAGCTCAGTGGTTCCACTGCCTGCCTTGCAAGGGCAAGGTTCCGAGTTCAATCTCTGGTACCAAAAACGAAAGAAGAAAAGAAATGCCCAGCACTTAGGAGGCTGAGGCAGGAGAACTGCCATGAGTTCAAGGCCGGCCTGGACTACACAAGACCCTGTCTAAAACAAAAACACCAAAAAAGAAGAAAATACAAAATATCAGAAGACACTTAAGTAGTAAAGCAGGAGCTGTTTCCGGAACTTGCTGAGTGGGATTGCCCCAAACAGGCAACTGTGTTGGAGGGGATTCCGGAGAACCAGGGCTAAGGCCAGGGAGCTATTGCTGCTGGTGGACAGGCAAGCTGAAGGGTATCTGTGTACTTCTGCTGTGACTTTGAGAAGCTTACATACACAGCACACACAGGAAAATGCAAAGGCAATAAGGCAAAGCCTCACTTGGACCTGACAGCTGCCAAGTGTTTTTCCTAATTCCCTTGTCTTTTTAAAGAAATAAAATGATGTGGGCTGGGGAGTTAGCTCAGTGGTTCCGCCACCTGCCTCGCAAAAAAAAAAAAAAAAAGAAAAGAAAATTGACTAAAATGAAAATGATCTATGCCAGGCATGGTGGCACACGACTGTCATCCTAGCACTTGGGAGGCTGTTAGGATTGGTGGGAGTTTGAGACCAGCCTGGGCTGCATAGTGAATTCAAAGCCAAGATGAACTACATAGCAAGACCCTGCCTCACAAAATAAAAATTAATTAATTGTTTTTTGTTTTTGTTTTTGTTTTTTTGGTACCGGGGATTGAACTTGGGACCTTGCGCTTGCTAGACAGGTGGCAGAACCACTGAGCTAAATCCCTGGCCCACAAAATAAAAATTAAAAGAAAAAAAAAGAAATAAAATGATCTAGGTGCTGTGGCACACATCAGTACTCTAAGGTGCTTGAGAGGCTGAGCCAGGAGGATCACATGAGCCCAGGAGCTCAAAACTAACTTGGGCAACAGAGACCCAGTTTCAAAAAACAAAATAAAAATAAGTTTAAAAAAAAGAAATACTGTTTAGCTCAGTGGTTCCGGCACCTGCCTCACAAACGGAAGGACCCAAGTTCAATCCCTGGTACCAAAAAAAAAAGAAATACTGTAAGCAACGTATGAACACGAAGTCCCATTGGCTACCCCCAACACCCATTCTTCGTAGAAGCCACCAGTATCACGGTTGAGTCTGTGTCCTTCCAGTCTATTTTATAAATTTATACACTGATGTGGCCATGAATAATATGTTGCATGATTTTGTATTTAAAACGTCCGCACACAGTTCATACTTCTGCATATCATCTCACCACTTTTTTTTTTTTTTTTGGTACCGGGGATCAAACTCAGGTCCTTGCGCTTGTGCAGAAGGTGGTGAAACCACTGAGCTAAATTCCCAGCCCAATCTCACCACTTTTTTGGCTTGCTATTTTTTTTTCTTAAATTTATTAACATCAAGTCCTCACCCTAAAAGCCTCCCATAAGGTTTGAGCCCCATCACAGAGGGGACAGTCTCAGCCGGAGGCCTTGGAGTGACTTACAGTAAGGTGATTTTCAGGTTGGCAATTCTGTTTGCAGTGGTGAAACCTGCATCATTCAGGGCTTCCCATTTCAGGATTAAATTGTGCCAATCGGCTGCGTTGTCCTTAATTTTTCTTGCACTGACAGCTAAGACAGGCTTTCGGGGTGCTGTATCTCCAAGAGTCTTTGCTGATAGGGAGTAAGAGAAATAGGATTTTTATGGAGCACTTGTCAGAGCCAGAGGGCAAATGCCCCTCCACAGGAAGTTGGAAATTCTGCATCCGGTGCCACAAACTAGAAGGGCTGGAAGAAAGTGAAAGTTCCTGAAACTAGACAAAGATAATTTTAATTTTTTATTATTTATTAATTAATTTGGTTTTTACTTGGGGGGGCAGGGCCTCAATATGTAACCCGGGCTGGCTCTGAACTCATGGCAATCCTCCTGCCTCAGCCTCAGGAGTGCTGGGATTACAGGCATGCAGAGGTTTCTCCTCCCTAGTAGGGGCTCCTGAGGGTGAGGATCACATCTGATTCATCATGTGTTCCTGTCTACCCCATACCCAGCATGCATTAGGAATCAGAAACAGCTCCCTGGGTGGCAGGGAAAGACAAGTAATCAGTCATTCTCACTGCTCAGGATCACTGTGCAGCTCCATGATCTGACTCAGTCCAAGCACTCAAGACACTGCTGGGCACAAGGTGACACTCACTGAGGAGCAGCTTTCATCAGAAGCAAGCTCCACATCGGCTCCTCCTGACTGAGGGAATTCAGGGAAAGGATTCTGGAGGGGCTGGACATGCAAAGCTTGGCACCAACTGCTCCATTATGCTAATTCATAAGGGCGACAATTACAATTTGAAGTCGGGCATGGTGATGGAGGTCTGTAATCCCAGCACTGGGAAACTGTGGCAGAAGAATGGCAAATTCGACCCCAGCCTGGGCAATTTAGTGACTTTGCAACTTTGCAAGATCCTGTCTCAAAAAGGAATTACAGGGCCGGGGATTTAGCTCAGTGGCACCGCACCTGGCTCGCAAGCGCAAGGTCCTGAGTTTGATCCCTAGTACCAAAAAGAATTTAAAAAAAAGGAATTACAATTTTTGTTGTTTGTAAGTCAGGGTCTTGCTATGTAGTTCAGCCCGGCTTTGAACTCACTATGCAGCCCCAGGCTGGCTTCAAACTCAGCAATCCTCCTGCCTCAGCCTCCCGAGTGTTGGGATTACAGGCGTGAGCCACGACGCCCGGCAGGAATTACAATTTGAGCGTCAGATCGCTGACACACTGCATACACCATCCCGTTTAGTTGTCATTCCACACGTCTCGGCCACACGGACTGGATCCCGGCCCGACTGGAGAGCCCGCGCGGGGCACAGGGCGACAGCATCGAACCCGGGGGCTCACGGTCTTGGCCAGCGCCCAGGTAAGGCGGTAAGACCCTCAGCCCACACGCCCGGGGAAACCAGACCCTCTCACGTACCCTCCATGCGGTCCTCAGATAACCCGGGAAGACTTGAGGCCCCGCCCCCGGAAGCTCAACCTCATTTCCGCTACGCCCCGGTTGCCAACTCTTGCGACTCGGCCGCTCTAGCCCGCGGCGGAGTCGTTCGCCGCTGGCCCAGCCGGCCCCGTTGCCAGGGAACGGGCTCCCAGCTGCCCCCGCGGCCCCGCGTCCATCCCCGCCTCCCTGGCCGGCGGGGCGGACGAGTCTGGAGGGGCTGCGCGGGAGGTGAGTGCGGCGACGCCCGGCCCCGTGCCATCCCCGGCCACCCTGCCCTCGCCTTGGCGCCAGAGGCTCCGCCGTCCCCGCTGCCGGCCCGCGGCGCAGAGGCGGACCCCGGACGCCACCCACCAGATGCCCCGCGGCTCGCTGGCCCCGACCCCGCCCGGGTCCTCGCCCCTCTCTGGCGGCCCCACCCTTGCATCCCGCCCCCGCTGGCCAGTGCGGGCGGCTCCGCCGACGACGGTGCGTCCCGTCCCGACCTCCGGGTCTCGATCCCCCACATCCGTCCGCCGCGGGCCTCGACACCGGTGGGTGTCCAGAAAGTGTCCTGAAGTGGACAAGTGAGCGACCCCGTCAGGCCTGCTGCACGGCCTAGGAGGCGGAATGGGAGCAAGAGTCAGATTTTGGGCGCTCTGGGTCACGTTCGGACCACCCCCGCCGCGGGGGAAGATGGGGGGATGCCGGCCTCCCCAGGCGCGGAGGGCCAGGCGGCCAGTGCTGTGGAGTTGGCAGGCCCTCGGTCCCGAGGAAGGGGTCGCCTGCGTGGATGTCACCCGCTCCCTGCCCTAGTCGCTGCTTAGTATCCTGACTTCGCATGACTTCAGTTTCTCCTTCCTCTTCTCTTCCCTGCTCTTTGTCTTTCCTCTTTTTCACTGAGGTTCAGAATTTTATTCTGTTCTATTTGTTGGCGGGATGTGGGGCATCAGCCTAGGCGCACCCTTTCCTGGTCTACCAGGGTGGTCAGTCGCGCTTGGCGTGTCTTCTTCCCGGCAGCCAGGATTTTAGAAATCTCAAGTAAGGGAGTTCTGGGAAATCTTCAAGCCCAGATCCCAGGCGTGGCAGAATCTGGCAGTGAAGCCACTGGAGTCCCTTGTCGCCATGAAGTCCTGGTCTTCTGAGCTGCAGTCTCTCTGTCCCTCTGCGTCTTTTTGGGTTTTTTTTTTTGGTACGGGGGATCGAACTTGGGTCCTTGCGCTTGCGGGGCAGGCTGTGGCACCTCTAAACTAAATCCCCGCCCCCGGTCTGTTTTTGTATTAGTCCATGTTTGCAGCACATAATGTTGACATTCCTTGTGTGTTTACATGTACATAACACACCTTCCTTTCCTCATCTGCCCTTTGCTCTCTACCTTCCTTCCCTCCACCTCTTCATCCTCTTCCCCTTTTGAGAAAGATCTGTCTCCCAGCTCCTTATTATCTTTTATTTTGCTCTTTGTTTATATTTTATATAAATATATTTATATTTAGTTCAGGCTAGCCTTGAACTCACCAGTGTTGCCCGGGCTGGCCTTGAACTTGCGGCCATCCTCCTGCCTCTGCCTCCCAAGTGCTGGGAGTACAGGAGTGTACCATGCCTAGCTGATCAACACTTTCCCTTCAAAATTTGGTTATGTGTTACTACTGTAGAACTGTGACAGGGTTTTGTTTTCTGTTTTGTGCTTCCTGGAACTGGAACTCAGGGCCTTATGGTGCTGGGCAAACTCTACCACTGAGCTACGCCCCCACCCCGGGACAGTTTGTAATCCAAGCTGGTGCCTGGCCAGGGCAACCCTGCACTCGCTCCCTGCACCCCGAGCAGTTACTTCGGGTAGTAGTATCACAGTTGTGCCAAAGAGAAAGCTCTAGGGACCCAGACCTTGCAGAATACCCACTGACACCCTGTAGCCGCCACAAATAATCAACTTGTCCAGTCAGAATGGTGCACCCGCTGGGCACAGGTGGTCTCCCTGGGCCCCTTCTAGCTTGACTGCAATCCCGGGGCGCCTCCCATATGGGGATTGTGGAGCTGTCAGTGAACAGCATCAAATCAGGTTAAGTTTTGGAAATTGTCAATTTGACAGAGATACTTTGAGGAAATGGGGTCTCAAGTTGCTAAATTTTTTTTTTTTTTAATTTTTTTTTGGTACTGGGGATTGAACTCGGGACCTTGCGCTTGTGAGGCAGGCGCCGGAACCACTGAGCTAAATCCCCAGCCCTAAGTTGCTAAATTGCCCAGGCTGGGTTCAAAGCTTTGATCCTTGTGCCTCAGTCTCCTGAGTGTTGCAATTACGGGTGTGTGCCACCAGGTCCATCTAGGAAAGCGACTTTAGAAGAGGAAATAACAGTAGCTGAGTGTGGAGTGCTCAGTACTTCTGCTGGCTTCTAGGGGATCTTACCAGCTGGCAGATAAGAAAGTTCTGCAGTGGTTGGCTATGTCCCAGAATCTTGTATTGGAAATGTAGCCCGGAGTCATGGTAAGTGTTTGGACAGGGGACCTTCACAAGATCTTAAGGGTTAGATGTGTTCATGGGGGCGGAGCTCTAAGAGTGGATTAGTGGCTTCATGTGCAGGGCTGAGAAGCTGGAGGTGGTTGGTTTGCCCAGCCTGGTCCTCAGCGCCTTGTGCTACCTGGGGGGTCTGCAGTCTCGGTAGGGTGAGAAGGCTTCAGGGCTTTGGCCGCTGTCCAGCTGAGAGCTGAAAAGCCTTCATTCTTCCTCGATTGCTCAGGCTGAGGTGCTCTGAGTGACAGGAAGTGGCCTGAGCCAGTGCTCGAGGGAGGTGAGAGCAGAGCAAGGAGAGGCCAGGAGGTGAGCGGTGTCCGCCTTGGCATCTGGGGCGTCACAGGGGAAGTGTCTGTTTGCCAAGCAGATGAGAGGGGAGGGAGCCAGTGATGCAGCTGGGTCAGGCGCCTGGGAGAGGTCGGGGTGGCAGTGATGGTGGCCTGAGCCATGGGAGGTCAGTGGTGTGGGGACGTGGGAGGCATCAGGGCAGTGGTGATGAACCTATGGTACACTTGTGATTTGTTTTCCTTTGAAGACAAAAGATGCTAATGTATGAGTTGTTTTTCCTAAGCTGACACCTCAGTTTTCAGGTTTGATTGCAGTGTTGGCACTTTTCGATAAATAAGTGGGTTTGGGTTGCAGTTTGGGTGCTCGGTCTCTAAAAGGTTTGCCATCACTGCACTGGGGACTAAAATGAAGAGACCTGGTGATTGAATGGAGGGGAAGAAGGAATTGGGGACGATGCCTCTCTTCTAGCCTGGACAGTGTGGCCCCAGCAGCTGTGTAAAAGACACAGGGGCGTTTGAGTGGAGGAAGATGGTGGCTCCCAGCAGCTCCGGGTCCTGCCAGCTGTGAACCCCTGAGCATGGCCAACGCGGCTTGGGGCAGAGTGGCCCTGGTCTGGTCCTGCCCCAGGCAGGGTCCCTCACCACTGTCACAGCGGAGCGAACCCGAGAATGTGGAGTGGGCCAGGCCAGGTGAGGGCTTCTCCCCCTCCCAGGGCCGTGGCTAGCAGCTGGTGCCTCTTGCCCTTTGTGCCCCGAATACAGTGGGCACCCGGGGTCCGTGGCAGGCCCAGTATCTTGAGAGGGGATCGGTCCTGGCGAGTCTCAGGGCCTTGCTGTTGTCACTCTCGGTCTCCCCTGGGTGAGGTGGGGAGGAGCAGAGCCCTTAGGATGAGAGTGAACCTGTTCTCTCTTTAGACAGGCAGTTCTCCTCCCCTCACCCCGATATGAAGAGATGTGCGGCTGGCGAAAGGGTGGCTTAGGGGTGTCATTCTGCTCCACTGGCCCCGAGCCCCTAACTGATGACGAGAGGATCCAGAGACTGGTGATCTCCAAAATAGGGGCTGTGGCGAGGGGCGAGGGGCCCGCATCCCTGAAGCTGCAGCTGCAAAGGGTTGGTTTTGGAGTTGGCTCGAGAAATAAGACACCAGCAGCCTTTCCTAACCCTTAGCTTTCCCAAGTGTTCCTTTAGAGGAGTGGGAACCGAGGATCTCCTTGCTTAAGACAGCAATCCACGTTGTGACCGAGGACAGCTTTTCCTATTGAGAGTTATTTGTGCAAAGGAACAGTGGAGGGTGGGAATGAATTTTTAAATGAAGAAAACACAATTGCGAGATCTTGATTGTGTCTGCTGAGAAACTTCAGCATCAATGGAGTGCTTGCCTTTTTATTGCAAAAAGAAAAGACAGATACAGCCAGGCATGTCGGTGCACACCTGTAATCCCAGCATTCTGGAGGCCTGGGAGGCCGAGACAGGCGGATCACTGTGAGTTCAAGGTTAGCCTGGGCTACAGAGTGAGCTGACACCCTGTCACAAAACCAGGCATGTATATATGTAAGTCAAAGTCTCACAACTGGTTAAATTAACACCGACCCTAAAGTGGAGTGTGAGCTATTGGGACATTTCGAGTTTCTCTATTTTTCATCTAAAAACAAAACAAAAATATAGTATATAGATTGTCTCTGGTGCCCTCACACTGAATATCAAATAGTTCCTTGTCACACAGAGCAGGAGGACATCCTGCCAGCAGATGGCTGTCCCTGAGGCAGAGGGTTGGCAATGGAGCCTCTGTCATCAGAGATCTCATAATATCCTCTTCAGATATCATGGGGACCTGGTTATGTGGATGTAAGGGCTGTATTATTTCAGGCAGGAGAATCATGGATTTTTTCTGTTGAAAGGAGGAGCTACCATGATTTCCTTATGGAAAAGTTGTGAGACTGTGACTTACATATATATGTATATATAAACGTATATGTATATACAGAGAGTCTGCCAAATATATATGCAGCAGCTCACCATACTAAAAAATGTCTGGAAGCTCACGGCCACCACGTTGAGCACCTCTTGTATTTTTAGAGGCCAGAGGAAACTTGTATCTATCTCATGGTGTCTCAATGAATTTAGTATTAAAATATTTATACAAGTTTTTCTTTTCCTGATCTATACATTTGGTGGCAGATTCTTTATATGTATACATATGTGTACGCAGGTATATATGTATATATGTGTATAAATATATTTTTGCTGTGCATACGTTTCCTCTTTTTGAAACACAGGAAAAGGGAAGTACTGACCCAGTACATTTGTCATTAGGATTCTACGAGTCACTGCGTGAACTCTTTTAGGATGGTGTCTGGCATGATAAGTGCTGGTTATAATGATGCATAAACTTCAGATACCACTAGTCAAGAAGTGTACAAACCAAAATTTTGCCAAAAAGAGTCTACCTAGGATAATCCATCACTCTATTTCCATCTTCTATTTAGGTCTGACTTGGAGCATGGCAGATACATTTCATCTCATGTATTGGATCCAACCCACCGATAGTGGCTGTTTAGAGCACTGGGTTGAAATGGATTGTGATGTTGAGTCTATGGTCAATAACGGGCAAGAGGGCCGGGGATTTAGCTCAGTGGTTCTGTCACCTGCCTTGCAAGCGGAAGGACCCAAGTTCGATCTCTGGTACCAAAAAAAAAAAAACAAACCTAAAATAACGGGCAAGTGCCATGGTTGATTATCAGTGTCTGCCATGAGCACAGCATCAGTGGTAGGAAGGTTCCCAGACACTACTGATTCTTACCTGATGTTTCCTCCTTCGGGTCCAGGACAGTGTCCTGATCACCCTTACATAGCCTGCCCCTGGATAGTTTCTATGATGTATCAAGTAGTCAAACAATGTTGAATAAAGTAGACACAAACAAATGAAAAAAAAAAAGCACAACACGACATAAAGCAAAATGGCAAAGGTACAAGGCTAAGCTAGGCGTGGTGGTGCATGGCTATAATCCCAACAGTCTAGGAGGCTAAGGCAGGAGGATCACAAGTTTGAGTCCAGGCTGGGAAATTTACCAAGGCCTTGTTTAAAAAAATATATGGCACACACGCACAAATGGCAGGAAGGCTAAGTGTTTCTAGACATTAGCCATTTACCCTGTGTAAACGCCTAGGAATGTGGGTTTTACTTCAGATGGGTAATGGAGATTGAGAGCGGTTAGTGATTTTCCCAGGCCCCACAGAGGGCGTAGGATAGCACTGGCATTGGAGCCAGGGCTTTTTCACTCCCAGGCCCTCTTCCTGTTGCAGTGCTGCTTTTCTGTGGGGGACAGGGCCAGCTTGATGGCGGTGGTGCCTTGGAGTGGAGCCCAGGAGGCTGTGTGAGAACTGGCCACAGAAGGGGCGGAGGCTCCGTCTCCGGGGGAGTGTTTGTTGTCTGAAGTGTTTCTCACAGGCCTAGCCCAAGGCAGGAGGCAGCACCTCAGCCTTCTCTCCCTGTGGCCTGTTTTTTTTTTTGGTACTGGGGATCGAACTCAGGACCTTGCACTTTCGAGGCAGGTGGTGGAACCACTGAGCTAAATCCCCAGCCCTTGTTTTTTTAAATTTTTTAATTTTTGCATTATTTTCCCTGTGTGCTGCTTCTTAAGTTTCCTTGTTTTGTTTTTTGAGGCAAGATCTTGCTATGTAGCCCAGACTGGACTTGAACTCATGACAGTCCTCCTGCCACAGCCTCCTGAGTGCTGGGACCACAGACACATCTTGCTGGGAGGTGGCCTCAGTCTTCCTCCCAGGCAGACCCTGGGCGGGGGCGCGGGCCTCAGAACACTGAGCCCCAGACACACGCAGTCACGCACGGGCCCACTGAGCCACCCGGAGCCTGCTCCCCAGGTGCTCACACGCGAGGGCAGCGTTGGTCGGTGTAGCCACTGGACGGCCCTTAGAAGACACGCAACATCTCAGCATCTTCACCTGTTGCCGCACCCCGAGAAGACCCTGGGCCTGTGTCTCTGGTGTTTATGATGGTGCAGTCAAAACATTTTGGCTGGGAAAGGTTTAGTTTGTCCCTACAGTGCATTCTTTGATGTTTTCTGTAGTTAAAAATCATGTTCGAGGACAGTGGTGGTGAACCTGTGGCACGCGACTGTTATCACTGAAAGCTCTGAAAGGCTCCCCATCACTGTTCTAGGGAATATTTAATAATAATGATGTGGAAAATGCTCCTGACTTATTAAGTGAAAAGCTCTGTGTGTGTGTATATACACACATCTATAGCTGTTTATATATCGGATCTCCACACAGCATGGTGACATAGCATAGCGACATGGCACATCTGTATGATGGATTATGAATGACCTCTATTTTGTACTTTTCTTTGTGGTTTCTTTTTTGGTACCGGGGATTGAACTCAGGACCTTGTGCTTGTGAGGCAGGTGGCGGCACCACTGAACTAAATCCCCGGCCCTCTTTGTGGTTTCTTGAAACAGGGTCTCACTGTGTGGCCCAGGGTGGCCTTGAACTCAGAGGGACTCTCCTGCCTCAGCTCCCGAGTTCTGGGATCACAGGCGTGCGCCACTATGCCCAGCTTTGGACTTTTCTATACTGTGTTAGCAAGTTTCCTATAGTGAGCACTTATAACTGTTGAACAAAGAAAACACTGCTTTAAATTAAATAAGTGCTGTCGCATCAACGTGTGGTTGTGTACGTGGGCAACAGAGCCTTTGCTACTGTCTGTCCTGTTTGGAAGATGGAAGGGGTGGTCCAAGTGGGGACAGTCTCCTGTGTGACATGGGGACAGCCATGGAGCCTCCTCCATGGGTTCTGTGGGAGGAATTCATGAACCAGGGTGCTAAGAGCGTTGCTATTGAGGAGCAGTGTGGCTGTCACCATCTTGGCCGCAGTGCTTCTGTCTGTGGGTGTGGTGGCCTCGTGGTGAGCAGTGGTCTCCCTTGGAGCTGGTCCACAGTGCCCTGGGCTCCTGGCAGCCACTGTGTGTGTGCTGTGGGCTGCATTGGGGCCCTCGCCCACGTTTGTGGAGCACCTGTGTAATTCAGGGGTTCTGAAGCTGGGATCTCCCTGGCTCTGAGGAAGTTGTCAGTTTGTGGTCTGGGCAGGACCAGCACACATGGTCCAGGTTTCTGTGGCACTGGGCACTGAAATTGTGCAGCTTTTGGCCAACTTCTGAGCCTTCTGGAGCTTCCGTTCTGCTAAAAGAGGGATATGTTAGTTAGGTTTTTCTCTTTTTGTTGTTCTTTTTTTTTTGGTACCAGGGATTGAACTTGGGACCTTGGGCTAGCGTGGCAGGCGCCGGAACCACTGAGCTAAATCCGTGGCCCTTTTTGTTGTTCTTTTTTGAGCCAGATTCTGTGGTTCAGGCTGGCCTTGAGCTCTCAGCGGCCTCCTGCCTCAGCCTCCAGAACACTGGAATTGTAGGCACATGCTGACATGCCTGGCAGCCTTCTCACTGTTAAACATCACCTCTTGGTGGCATGGCTGGGCACTGAAGGATTGTAATGCTTTGTTCTGCAGCCCCAGCTTTCCCTGGATGAGGAGCACACACCCCCTCTCCTGCTGGAAGACTGTGTGTGGAAACCGTGGCCATGGCGTCGATGCCAGATCCCGTGACCTTCCGAGAGTTCTGTCCACTGTACCATCTCCTCAACGCCATCCCCGCCAAGGTGCAGAAGGGCTTCCGCTCCCTGGTGGTCTACCTCACGGCGCTCGACGCCAATGGGGACTACATCGCGGTGGGCAGCAGCATCGGCATGCTCTACCTGTACTGCCGCCGCCTCAGCCACATGAGGAAGTACAACTTTGAGGTGAGTCCCGCCACTGCGGGTGCCTTGTCCCAGGTGAGGTTCCCGACTTCCGGCCTCACTGTGACCACACTCAGTGACGCATTCGCCAGGTGGGGTGTGACTGAAAATGCTGTGTGTTTCAGATTTTTTCCTGTCTCCAAAGGTCTCACGTCACTTTTAAAGAGTGTTTTAGTGATTAACACTTGCTAGAGAACTCTGGAAAAGGTGTTTGTTTGCTAAGTGTTGTGTCTCCGAGTGCCTTGATGACTGGAGTGCTCTCTGGTGTGCTCCTGGGATGGCGACAGAGGATCTAGCTCAGTGTGGGAGAATGGCCAAAGTCACGCTCACCTTGAGTAAGGCGCCTGCAGCCTAGAGACCTCGTCACAGCTGCTGCTGGATGCCTGGGTGCTATGGATGAGGGCAGCTATATCGTTGGGCCACGGTGTGGCTGGCAGCCAAGCTTGGTCAGATCTGTACTTCTATATGAGCGGGTGCCGGTGGTGGGGTTCAGAGGTGGCCATGGTTGGCCTCTACCCTGTGGCCTTGTGGCCTCTTCTGGCTGTGGACAGTGGGCTTTCGCATTGAGGAGAACACAAAACACTTGGAGTTTTTTTGTTTTATTTTGTTTTTTGAGATCTGGTCTCACAGTGTAGTCCAGGCTGGCCTTGAACTCATTGTGATCCTCCTGCCTCAGCCTTCCTGGTGCTGGGATTACAAGTGTGCACCACCATGCCCAGCAACACTTGTGTTTTAAAACACAGTCAATGAAAATTAAAGTTTTGATATTTGAACTTAACTTTCCTTTCCTTTCGTAGTGCTGAGGACTGACCTCAGGGCCTGACACATGCTTGGCAAGCGCTATGCCGCTGGGCTACATCCGCAGCCGCCTTATGCTTTCTTTTGAGATAGGGCATCACTAAACAGCTTCAGCTGGCCTTGAAGTTGTGATCTTTGGGCCTCAGCCTCCCCAGTACATGGGATTGCAGGGATGTACACCTGGCTTTAAAGTTAGTTTTTCTTGCCAGATGTGGTGGCACACACCTGTAATCCCAGAACTCTGGAGGCTGAGGCAGGAGGATCACCACAAGTTCAAGGCCAGCCTGAACTACATAGCGAGACCCTGGCTCCCAATTAAAACTGTTGCTTTTCTTTTTCTTTAAGATTTCATGGATTTAACTGATCAAATTTCCCCAACACTTAAGATCATTACACAATTAAGCTGTAAGCTGTAGTAATGAATGTAATAGAGCTGAGATCTCTCAAATACCTCAGCTAACAAGGAAGACTTAAGACTCCAACAGTGAACCCCAGCAGAACAAACAAGAGAAATCCATGCTCAGAGACATAATCAACCTGAGAAGGACAAGGACAAAGTCTGAAATGTAGCTAGAGAAAACCAGCATGTTCCGTGCAGGGGCACCAGGATTTGATGAGTGCAGACTTCCCGTCAGAAACCATGGGGCTGCAAGGCAGTGGTAAGTTTTGAGCCTGGGAAAGAGATTGTCCAGCAGGGTCCTGTACTGTCCTGTGAGAGTAGCTGTGAGAGAGAAGACGAAGTGGACGCTTCCTCAGGTACCAGGAGCTGCTGCAGCCATTGCCGAGCTGGGGTTGGGTTCAGCGATTGAGTCCTGGCTTCCGTCTCTGGTGCCACAAAACAAGGGAAAACCCAAGAACGTAGTGAAACCGCCTCAAAGCAAACCGTGAACAGTGGTAGTTGTGTTAATGCATAGAGCACACAGGTATCAGACCCTGCAGGTATAATTAACTATTACACTGTAATAACCATTTTTATCATCAGAGCTGGCTGGGTCTTGGACTCACTGGGCATGATTTACACGGTTTACAGATGAAGAAACCAGGGCTGGGTGTGTAGCATCGTGGTAGAGAGCTGGCCTGGTGTGCACAGGGCACAGGTTCTGTCCACAGCACGAGTGTGCATGTGCACACATGCATGCACACACACATGTGCGTGCACAGCCACCACCAGAGTGTGCAGAGAAAGCACCAATGAGAGCCCCGCTGCAGGTGCCCCATGCTCACTCCTGTGGGGAGGCGGGGCCGGGCCACCCTTGGGCCTGGGGTTGGAGGACAGCAGATCGGACTTGTGGTCTCTGGAGCGTCCACAGATGCATCTCTCATTAACTTTGGGCAAATCTGCAATGTCACAGGCAGGAAAGAAAAAATAAAAGTTTGCCCTCGAATCTGTGCATCGCATGGCTGAAAGTCATGCTTAAAACAAAGTTATGTTCCTGAAGAAGAAAGTGGTAAATATAGCCCAGCACACGTTCTCAGGAACAGCGCTTTGGGAGCCTTTCTTCTCCCACAGAAGGGCGCGGGCGCGGCACAGGCAGATGGAAACACAGGCAGTTCTTCCTGCCTCTGCCAAAAGCACGGGGATGTGGCAGGGAGCCAACAGCAAGCACGAAAGTGTGATAAACATGGCAAGTACAAGGGTGAGAACGAGTGGAAAACGAACCCAAAAGATAACTTGACCTGCGGCCTTTTCTTCTTCTGTCTTGTGTTGAGACCGAATCTGTTCCAAGCTGGCCTCCGCGCAGGAGACCCTTCTCCTCCGCCTCCCCCCAGCGCTGGGATTACAGGCCTGCGCCTCCAAGCCGCACTGCGTTCTGAATAAATGATGAGATCTCTTTCCTTAGCCATGCCACTCACAAGCCCCGAGGCTGCTGAGAGAGCCAGAAAAACAGTACGAAAGGTGTGGCGGGCAGGGCGGTGTGTGAAGAAGGGAACCGTGCTGCAGTGAGGGCTGAGTTGCCCCGAGTCCCTCATTGTGCCCTTTCTGCAGCAGCTGTGGAGCCCCCTTTCCTGAGGGTGTTAGTTGTGCTACTGTGGCTGCCTCCATGTTCTGATTGCTCTAGAATGTTTCTCTCCTGGTAATTTTTACCCTGGGGACTGCGTGGTGGCCCTGTGAGGGAGATGGGTGAGGACAGTCGGTCTGCACAGTGGAAGTGCTCAGGGTGCAGACTGGAGGAGGCTGCGCAGTGCAGCAGGGGTGCTGCAGGGTGACAGGGAGCCGGGCAGGGCTGGAGAAGGTGGGGCTGGCAGGCCAGGTGACCTCTCTGCAGAGGATTCCTGTGGAGGAAGGAGAGGCCCCAGCCTGGCAGCGCTTCTGGAGTCATGCTTCGGCGAGTCAGTGGTGTTTCTTCGGCTCACACCTAGGGGTTCGTTTTCAGATGGGGGCTGGTTGTGTTGCCCTCCAGTCATGGGCCCACAGCATCCTCCCGCCTCAGCCTCCTGAGCAGCTGGGAGTCTAGGTAGATGCCACCTTACCTGCTTAAACCTGGGACATTTTTTAAAAATTTCATTTGTACGCGTTTGCAGTTCCTGTAGTTTGCAGTCCTCTGGGGGAGTGGTTACATGTGCACGTTACGTTAGAGCTCATTTCTTTCTTTTTTAAGGCCCTCCCTCCTCCTCCTCCTCCAGTGCCCCCCTCCCATTTTCATTCCTCTTGATATCATTTGTCTCAGCTCGTGTTCCGGCATAGTGTTTACATTAATTGGGGTTATTAGGCTCCTGTGCACGGCACATCTTTCTTCTTCTTCTTTCCCCTTTCCCTCCTCCCTTGGTCCACTTCCCTATTGCAAGGACCCGTCCCCTTGTCCCCTCTCTCCATCCCTTATCATTTTCTCTGCTTCTGCTTTGCCTCTCTCAAATGAGAGATACCATGTGGTATTTAAGCTTGTGTGTCTGGTTTATTTCACACAACATTATGTTTTCCAGGTGCATCCATTTTCCTGTAAATGTCTCAAATGTGTCATTCTTTATAGCCCAGTAGTATTCCATTATATATAGATACCACGTTTTCTCTATCGGTGCACAGACTGCTCCCAGGACTTGGCTATTATGAGCTGTGCCGCGACAAACATCGGTATGCATGTATCACTGTGGTATGATGTCTTAAGCTCTCTGGGGAAGATACCTAGGTAGGGAATCACTGAAACCCAGTACATTTATAAAAGTGATACAGGGCCGGGGATGTAGCTCAGTGGCACTGCACCTGCCTGGCACAAGGTCCTGAATTTGATCCCTGGTACCGCCAAAAAAAAAAAAGACAGAAATGAATTTTCTTTCTTGCCGTGTCAGCCAAAGGTTCATCTGCCCTTCCGGTGCCTACCTTGCAAGCGCAAGGTCCCGAGTTCGATCCCCGGTACAAAAAAAACCCAAAACCAAACCAAAACAAAAGGTTCGTCTGCCTAATCCGCACCCCCCCCCCCCCCGCAGCAAGTATCTCTCAGGTCTAGGGAAGAGCAGCCACTGACAGCTACTGTGCTGTTATGTTGGTAGCTTCACCAAGTCGAGTCTCACTGGTGTCCTTCTTTGCATTCATTGCTTCATTTTATTGGTTCCTAGGAATTTGGCTTTCAGATGCTTCTGACAGTGACTCACTGTGAAAAATAATTTTGCGGGGGCCAGGGATTTAGCTCAGTGGTTTTGCCGCCTGCTGTGCAAGCCCAAGGACCCAAGTTCGATCCCTGGTACCAAAAAAAAATACTTTTGGAGTTAGGGTACAGGGAACCAAAGCCAGGGCTTTGCACATGCTCTACAAGTGCTCTACCACGGAGCTGCAGCCCCAGGCCCATTTATTTTTGTTTATTTTAAAATTTTGAGATAGTGTCAGTAAGTTATCCAGCCTGGCCTAGATCTTGCAGTCCTCCTGCCTCAGCTTGTCAGAAATCCCAAACTTCTTTTTTTTTTTTCTTAAATTCTTTTATTGGTACATTTTAGGTATACAATACATTTACATTTATATTTGGGTGCTTGTACCTGTACATGATGTATCTTGGTTCTCATTTTTTCCCCATTACCTGTCCACCCTTCACCCCTAAGCCCTTCCCTATTTACATACTTTGTTTCCATTTTTTTTCTTTTCTCATAATTTTTCCTTTCCATTCTTTCCTTTCCCCTTCTCCTCCCACCACCCCTA